TGGAGAGTGAAAGCATGGAGACAATCATTCCCAAACTGATAAGACAGAGAGAGTAGACTTTGGACCAGGCCTGGTTCTAAGATAAAATCTGAATTGCTGGGTGGGAGGGGGAGGTATAGTGAGCTGAGATAGTGAAAAGCTGGGGCCACAAAGGTGGAAGGCAGAGGTTTTGGCTTAGGCACTTGACCTCTAGTGGAAACTTTGGAGGCCAATAGGACCTTGGCCAGAGAGCAGTACACATAGAAGGTTTAGATCAAAGATAGAAAAGCTTGAGCATATGGGATCTCCTTCCATTTTCCCGAATGCTCACAGAAGTGTTAAAGATCTTGAATGATATCAAGGTCAAACCACTCCAACTTTGGGCTGATCCCTCAGGGCCAAACGCGCCAACATGCAGGGGCCACTTTAAAGATGAGGCATTGACGTTTGGGGGCTGGAGCCAATTTGAGAGGAACCATATTACTAAAAGAATCAGATGGAACGTGGTCAGAGAAAAGTTCCCACTGCGACCTGTAGAGTCAGATCCATGAATTCAAGCATTCTTGAATCCTGGCAGACTGACTAGTGAGAGAATATGGGAGCAGAAGGCAGGGTCATCACCCAAGCACCCACTGGAGCCCATGGCTTAGCCTGTAAAAGGAGAACAGAGGTTGAGTTGTCACTCACACCCACTATTGCCCAGACACAATGTCTATAGAGACTAAAAGCCTTAAGTAAGAGTTGTGGTTAGTGTCTAGTACTATGACTTTTACGAGAGTCAGACGAGCAATACCACCACTTTTGTAAATATCCTGTGGTGGCAGATATGTTTGTCAGTTGGATGAGTTGATGGTAGGGCATTCCAGGGCTTCAAGCAGTATGGTTCTATTTGTGCTATCATTTTTATGGGGGACTTTCCCTTAAACTAGGTCATATTAACATACTTAGCTCCAGTATGTTGTGACCATACTAACCAGAAATTGGTACAAATGCAGCTATGTCAGGGTTGTAGCCAATTTTTAAAACATAGGCATTGACTTCCTTAATGATTTCCTTATATCTCTTCTGGCTATATAGTGGCTCAGTGGAATCCACTTTGTTAACACCAAAAATTATTTATTTCATACCTGGTGTTTAAGCCAGAAGGCCAGCATACCTTTGTAAATTCGAGCTTCAGATTCACTGAAACCAGCAGCAACAATCAGGACAACATTGTCAGTCTGAAATATGCCTGTGATCTATTTTTGTTAAAGTCTTTGTGTCCTGGTTTATCAGTGAAAGTCACAGAATAGGGGGAGATGTCAATGGAAATATGCTCAGCTTTCATATGTAAGACCCAGGCATACCTGAAGAAGACATTTACCATCTCAGAATTCGCCTTCTCAAAATTTTCAATGATTTTTATGTTCATTGCTCTACATTTATGAACAAAATGGCCAATGGTGGTTGACTTGCCTAATTCTGTGTGTCCAGTCACTGTGGTGTTGATATGAAGCTTTTTCTTTCCCATTTTGACTTTGGTTTAGTGATAGTTTTCACATCTATGTTCTGGTTGCGAATCAATTGCAAAAAGCTGCTTGATTTTCTTATGTTGAATTACCATCACATTTATTAGGTAAACCCCACTTGTTTATGGTGTATAATGCTGTTGGATTTTATTTTCTAGTATTTTGTTCAGGATTTTTGCATCTGTATCCATAAAAGATATTAGTCTGTGGCCTTATCTTTTGTGATTCTTTGTCTGGTTTGGAATCAGGGTAGTTCTAACCTCATAGAATGAGACAGACAATTGTTAAATCAACAACAGGAGTCACTGAGCACCTGCACCCCATGTAGGATCTCTGTCCTTAATGTGTTGTACTATGAGAATTAACGGTAAAATACTAGTCGAACAGTACTCTATATCTTGTGTGGTTGTGTGGGTGCAGTCTGTTGAAATCTTTGCTTAGTATATACTAAGTTGATCTTCGGTATATAAAGAAAATTGAAAATGAATCTTGATGAAGAGTGGGATGGGAGAGGGAGTGGGAGATGGGATGGCTGCTGGTGGGAGGGAGGTTATGGGAGAAAAAGCCACAACAATGCAAAAGTTGTACTTTGTAAATTTACATTTATTAAATAAAAAATTTAAAAAATTTTAAAAAATAAAGTTAATTAAGTTCAGAAAAATGCTTACAATAAATAAAAAGTGAAATCAACATCGAGATGCAATGACTTTGATCAGCCATTGTCTCCACTGTTGAGGAACATATTTCATACAATTTGTTGAACACTTTATTTCTATAGAGTTAATTTTCTGTGTATGAAATTAATTGAAAATAAAAAATAGAATGAGACAGAAAGCTTACTGCTTCATCCTTTTTTTCCTTTAAAAACTTTTAAAAATGTTTAAGTTATGCCAAGTTTCATATATTTCATATATATAGATTTAGGAACATAGCAATACATCCCACCCTACCCACCTTCCCACTCACGCTCCAATCCTTCTTCTTCCTCCCTCCATTCCCACTCTTGTAAACTGGAAGTAGAACTTCATCTTTTTTGTTTTCTTTTTGAGGAGTTTGAGAAGGATCTATTTGAATTTAAAAATAATTTAAAGATTTATTTATTATTTATTTGGAAGGCAGAGTTAGAGAGGAGGGAGAGGGAGAGGGAGAGGGAGAGAGAGAGAGAGAGAGAGAGAGAGAGAGAGAAAGAGAGAGAAAGGGAGAGAGAGAAAGAGAGAGAAAGGGAGAAGGAGAATATGTTCCATCTGCTGGTTCACTCCCCAAATGGCTGTAGCAGTTGAGGCTGTGCCGTGCTGAAGCCAGGAGCCTAGAGCTACTTCCAGGTATCCCACGTGGGTGCAGGGGCCTGAGCACTTAGGCCATCATCCTCTGCTTTCCCAGGTGCATTGGCAGTGGAACTGGATTGGAAGTGGAGAAGCCAGGTCTTGAACTGGCACCCTTACAGGATGCCGCTATGCCACAATACGGACCCCTGTGCTAATTCTTTGACAGTGAAACCATGTGGTCCTGGACTTTTTTTCTTTGTTGTAAGGGTTTTTAGTTTGTTTGTTTGTTTTTGATTACTTACTCAGTATCCTAGATATTTTTATTCATTCATTTTAAATTTTAAATTAACACATAATATTGTACATTTTTATAGAGTACAGCACATTGTTTCAACACACATACATATAGTATAAACTAATGAAATGAGGCAACTAGCTTTTCTGTTTTCTTATGTTTGTGTGTGGAGCTTACCAGCTCTTTTACAGTAGTCTATGGAGTATATAGTATGTTATTGTTAGCTGTGGTTATCTCACAGTGTTGTGAAATATTGGAACTTACTACTTCTGTTTATTTGCTTTTTATATGTCTATTCAAATTTTCTATTTCTTATTGACTCATTTTTTTGTTATTTGTGTTTTTATTAATCTGTCCATTTCATCCATATTACCTAATCTGTTGCCAATTATTTTGGAAGTTTAGTCCATTACCTTAAAGGTAATTTACTAAAAAGAAAGTGACTGACTTATAAATTCTGCAATTTACTTTCTATATATTTTATAACATTTTTGTTTCTTATTTTTACCATTACTGACCTCTTTGATTTTCAGTGAATTTTTGTATACTGTTTTGATTCCTTTTTTTATTTCCTTTTCTTTAATTTTAAAGGCATTTCTTTTTTTAGCAGTTGCTATATAAATTACAGTTAACATGTCCTATACTATGGAACTAGTGCTTTTCAGTTTTTCCATTCTTATGACAGATAGGATGGCTAGAAAGAGCTAGAGTTGATTATTTTCCTTCTTCCATGTTCAGGCTCTGATAAAACCACAGTGAGTTAAGTTCTGGAAAAATAGTTTTTCTTAGAGCAGAACTGGTTAAGTATATTATCTGGCATATTTCAAAGTGATTTATTTTTCTCCCCCTTTACCTGAAGAATTTTCTTTGACCTTTACTTTAAGGAGTTGATAGAGATCCTGAAGATAAAGCACATGAAAGCTTTTTTCCAAGTCCTCCATTTCCCATGACATGATCATCTGGATTGATTATTTATTTATTTATTTATTTATGAGGCAGAGAGAGGTTGCTCCTATTCACAAGTTCACTCCCCTGATGCCTGCATTGGTAAGGCTTAGCTGGGCCAAAGTGGAAAGTTGGAGACTCAAGCCAGTCCTCCAACATGGGTGGCAAGAGTCCAACCGCTTGAGCTATCACCGTGCCTTCCCAGGATCTACAATAGCAGAAAGCTGGAGTCAGCATGCAGGGGTGGGTATCAATTCCAGAATGGGACATGGGTATTCCAGTTAATATTTTAAACAGCAAGCCAAATGCCTGCCTACTGTCCTGTCTGCCCCCACTGCCAAAACCCAGAGTTCTTAGGTCCCAATGCTTGTTCCTTCTGAATCTCTAGAAATCCATCAAATATATCTCAGATTTTCCTATCTTGTATTGATTCCTTCAAGGTTTATGCTCAGTTTATGCTCCAGTGAATTATGATTCGTTGTGTATGCTTTGATGTCCCTCCAAATTTCATAGTGGTCATTTATGCTATAACCTTTCTTTTTTCATGGATCTGAAGAGTTACTGATGTTCAGTTCATATTTTTGCTTGTTAGGATAAGGTAAGGACTTCTAAGTTCCTTGCATGTATAAGACATTGAATCTTATTTTTGTTGCTGATAAATGTATTTATAAATAAAAGTCTTCTTGGTTATTTCAATGAAGATTAGCAAGGGAGAAAATGGAGGGGTAGAACTACATCATAACCTGTAGATCTGCCTACTGCTTTGAGGCTTAATGACAGGCTTTCTGTGATTTTTGTTTGCTGCCTAACTTTTGGTTGGATTTGGCTACCAGAAGAGGTTCTTACATAATTATTTACTTCTTTTTGGACAACATAAAATTACAGACATCTTCAGATAGTAAATAGATAGTACTTGTCTCCAGGCTTCTTCTTTATTGTTTAACCCTAGGTGGTTTTGTCCTAATCATAGCTGAGCATCTGAAGTAACTATATCTTACTGTGTTTTAGGGGATGGACTTCAATGGAATAACCTTTCTTCACCAGTGACCCCAGGAGATACCTTCACTTTGGCCCATGTTTTCGGAATGCTTTTATTTGATGCTTGTTTGTATGGCCTTGTGGCCTGGTATGTCGAGGCTGTATTTCCAGGGGAGTATGGTGTGCCTAAGCCATGGTATTTCTTTGTTCAGGTGAGTCCTAGTGCCTCTGTTATTTAGAGAAACCCTAGTACTTTTGTACCTGGTTTGCAGAAAAGGGAACATCATTGCCTTTAACACCCTCTTCCTGGTGCCTCACTCTTCTTGTACTAAGGTGTTTTGTTTTGTTTTGTTTTTTTCCTTCACAACTAAAACTATCATGAGTTAACTTTGTAACATGTGTCACAGAATCAAATGTTTTTCTGCAAAAGAAATTTCATTTTAATAAATATGTGGTAGGATCCTTTGATCCTATTGAGGAGGGTGATGAATTTTGTCCCATATCTGTTTTTTCAATTTTTTCTCTTTTAATTGACATACAATAATTATGCATTTTTATGGGCAATGGTATAATAATTCAATATATTTATGTATAATAAACAAATTAGGCTAATTAGCATTTATATCTCCTTAAGTGCTTATTTTTCCTGCATGGAAACTTTGAATTACTTTCTTCTAGTTATTTATAAACATATATAATAAATTGTTGTGAACAATCCCTACGGTGCTATAGCACACTTGAACTTACCTTGTATCATACTTTGGGTCATCCTCCATTGCCTTTCCCAGGCCATTAGCAGTGAGTGGGACCAGAAGTAGAGCAGCCAGGACTTTAACCAGCACCTGTATGGCATGCTAGCATCACAGGAAGTGGCTTTACCAAATACACCATAATTCTGGCCCCTTGATGAAAATAATTTTGACCTCAAAGTCAAATTGAAAGTCCTCAGGATCTCCAGGGATCCCAAGTAGACCAAAAATCCAAATAAAGAGACACAACCGAGCACAATGCCATGATTTTCACTGTGCCATTTTGAGATGATTTCATTTTATCTCTCTTTATTTACTTGAAAGGCAGAATGACAAAGAGACAAAAGTAGAGGGAGAGAGAATGAGAGGTCTTCTGTCTATGGGTTTAATTCCCAAATGGCTGAAATGGCTAGGGCTGGGCCAGCTTGAAGCCAGGAGTCAGGAACTGCATCTCGGTCTTCCATGTAGATGGTAGGAGCCCCAAATACTTGGACCATTATCTGTTATATCCCAGGTGCATTTACAGAGAATTGAATTGGAAGTGGAGCATCCAGACTCAAAACTAGCACACCAGTATGGGATGCAGGCATTGCAGGTGGTGGCTTAACCCATTGTGCCAAAACCCTGGCCCCTTGGCTAGTGACATTTTAAATAGCACGCATGTTTTGTGGTTATTCTTTAGGAATTTGTATTGTAGGCTTTTTGGTTCCAAATGTAGTGTCAAATTGTCTGCTTATAATCCATCTGAAAGGCAGTGTGAAATGAAATAATGAACTTTTAAGAGCATTTCATTTTTCATTGATATCCTAATGATTTTGGTTTTATTCTTTTAGAAATCCTACTGGTTTGGGAATCCAGTCAAAAAGATGGAAGAAGATAATGAACTTTCAAGTTTTGTGGAAAATGAATATTTTGAAGCTGAACCTGTTGGTTTGGTGGCTGGTATCCAGATCCACCATTTACGTAAGGTATTGTTTCACAGGTCTCTTTCTGAATAATAATAAAAGTTAACCTACAGTATAAATGAAATGTTTGTCCTATCTGTAACTCTACTCTTATGTTAATTAAAGGTGTTCATCAGCATGTGTAATAGCTTTGAGAAGATAATAATGAAATATATGAAAACAAAATAAAAATCTATGTGTTTCCTTTCTTCTTTCTTCAAAATAGAATTCAGCTTTGTAGATGATAATGGTCTCTTCTATGATTCTCCCATGATCAGAGGTAGAATCTATAACTGTGATGATTAGATATGTAAATATTAATTTCCATTCTCTGTTTGGTTTTATTTGATCTACAAGCTGTGCATTAGACTTTTTGACTGAATTCTCTTTTATCCAAGTGTTTGGAAAGGAGGTTTTATAAATTCCATTTTACCTGGATTAACTGCAGGCATGTATTATTCAGGTAATCCATATGTCTTCTGGCATTCTCTTGCTACTGTAGGAGCTACTTAAGCTTAAATCTAGCCTTTAATTTCACAATTTGTGGAAGTTAAAATCATTTTTTCAGTTTCCACTATATATATATAAAGGAGAGGATTTTTTTATGTTGTTTGTTTTTCCCTGCCTCTAACAGATTGCATTCTGATTCTGATTTGAACATAGAAAGCCAGATAGGAAAATTAGGCTTCTCACTAGTGTTTTTAGGAAATCAAATTTTTTGAATATTTTAAAGTTTTAATATAGATTGGAACTTAATGGAATTTTATCAAAGAGCATATGTGATTATTTCCCCAGATTTACTCACCGATATCTTCTTGTTTCTCCACTTATACTTTACTCCAAGATTGCTCTTGAGACTTTCTCTGATTAAAAGCAGTTAGTTCACCACTTCCTAGGTCTTTCCCTCAAACCTCAGTATTGAGACACATACAGTGCTCAGTAGAACAAAAATCTTTCATGTACTCATTATTTATTTATTTATTCATTCAACAAATTTAACTAGTTTCCAGAAGCTAATTGGTACTAGGCATACAGTTACAAACAAGGCAGGTAAAATTCTTATTTTAAAGGAAATGTAGGCAGGTACCAGTTAGTGCTATTTCTGCTTCCAAATAGATTTGAGAAGGTCATGGCAGCCTATCAATAAAAATTGGGAAAAAAAACCTAGAGGTAAATGGATAAATTATTTCTGTCAAACAGCTATAGAAATAATAAGGACTAGATTATCTTTTTTGTATGCTCAAAACATTGTAAGTTTTATTAATATAGTGATTACTATATAATGATTAATTTGCTATTTTAGATTCATATCAACTGTATTCATAAAGAATTAACAACTTTCTTGGCTACATTTATAAAATGCTGGTCATTTTCTTTTTTATATGCATTTTGTGATTCTTATTTTAATTTAATATTTTTGTAAAGAAGTTTCTCAAGGCTCTTATAATACTTAAAATTTAGACATTTGGGAATTTATATTAAAGTGGATTTAAGTGGCTTATGCTTGTATTAAAGAATTGTAGATAACTGAATGCATCTACCACATTGTCAAATTGAGCATCAGGTAATGCAAGAGGTTATTTTATTTATAATTATTCAAAGGATGTCTGAGTCCACAGGTCTTTCATTTTACTTATCTCAGATTTTTTTCTACAATAATAATTTAGATTGAAGCTGAAAAATGTTCACTAAAATTTTGTTTTGATGCAAATTAAAGATGACAAGGTATGATCTGAGATAGCAAAGTGTATGCTGGATACATAAACTGAACCTTAAATAAGGCATTTCAAATCAAGCCTATTTTTATGTATTTCTTTTTTAAAATGTTTATTTATTTTAAAATTTTATGTAAGGTATACAAATGTCATGTATTTCCTATATACAGATTGAAGAACATAGTAATACTTCCCACCCTACCCTCCCTCCTGCACATGCTCCTACCTTTCCTCCTCTTCCCTCTCCTATTCCCATTGTTAATTTTACAAAGATCTATTTTCAGTTAACTTTATACTAAACAAATACTATGAAGAAACACTATTCCTCAACAGTCGAGAAAAGTGCTATTGGCGCCGTGGCTCACTAGGCTATTCCTCCCACCCCGGGTTCTAGTCCCGGTCGGGGCGCAGGGTTCTGTCCCGGTTGCTCCTCTTCCAGTCCAGCTCTCTGCTGTGGCCTGGGAGTGCAGTGGAGGATGGCCCAAGTCCTTGGGTCCTGCACCTGCATGGGAGACCAGTAGAAGCACCTGGCTCCTGGCTTTGGATCCGCACAGCGCGCTGGCTGTAGCAGCCACTTGTGGGGTGAACCAAATGGAAAAAAGGAAGACCTTTCTCTCTGTCTCTCTGTCTCTCTCACTGTCTAACTCTACCTGTCAATAAATAAATAAATAAAATCATCAATTCTCAAAATGTCAATTTTATTCCTGTAGATGACCTTTCAGGTACTCTATTGGTTACCACAAATCAGGGATGATGTGGTATTTGTCTTTTTGGTATTGGCTTTTTTCATTAAGTCTAATGGTTTCCAGTTGCATTCATTTTGTTGAAAATGATAGGATTTCATTTATTTTTTAACTCTGTGTAGTATTCCATAATGTGTATATATACCAGAATGTGTATTCTGCAACTATGGGATAAAAAGTTCTATAGTTATCTGTTAGGTGCATTTGGTCTGCAGTGTTTATTAGCTCTGTTGTTTCTTTGTTGATATTCTGTCTAGTTGATCCGTCCAATGATGAAAACTGGGTGTTGAAGTCTTCCATTACTAATGTATTGGAGTCTATGTCTCCCTTTAGATCCATTAACATTTGTTTTAAATAGCCAGACACCCTGGAATTGGTTGCATATACATTTATTATAGTCATATCTTCCTATTGAATTGAAAATTACATAATGCCTTTCTTTTTCTCTTTTAACAGTTTTTGCATTTAATTCCGTTTTGTCTGATATTATTAGGAGGGCAACACCTGCTTGTTTCTGCTTTCTGTCAGCATGGAATATCGTTTTCCATCCTTTCACTTTCAGTCTATGTGTGTCTTTGTTGGTGAGATGTATTTCTTGTAGGCAGCAAATAAATGGCTCTTGTTTTTCTAAATACATTCAGCGAGTCTGTGTCTTTTAATTGGAGAATTTAGGTTACTATTGATAGATAACGACTTGGCTCTACCAATTTTCCATAAATATTCCTATTGTTTACTTTGTATTTACTTTGTGCTTTTACCGGGAGATTTTTCTGCCTTCACCTTCTTTCATAATGATGACTATCGTTTTGTGTTTCTGTGTGTTGCACATACTTAAGCATCTTTTTTAAGGCTAGAATAATGGTGACAAATTCTTTCAATTTTTGTTTCTTCAGGAAGATCTTTATTACAACTTCATAAATGAGAACTTTTTAGGTACAATAATCTGGGTTGATACTTTTTTTCTCTTTTAAGACTTGGACTATGTCTCTCCGTTCTTTCCTAGCCTGTGGAGTTTCTGATGAAAAGTTAGCTGTGAGTCTAATTGGAGACCCTCTGAAAGTAATCTGACATATTTTTTCCTTGTACATTTTAGAATCTTTATGTTTTACTGTTGAAAGTTTAACTACAATGTGTCATGATGCCGATATTTTGTGATCATATACTAGGAGTTCTGTATGCTTCCTGTATTGACATACCTTTCTTTCTCCAAACTGGGTAAATTTTCTGTGAATAATTCACTGAATAGAACTTCTAACCCGTTGTCTTTTTCCACACCTTCAGGAACTCCTAAGACCTGTATGTTGGGGTCTTTTTAACAGTGTTTTTAATTTTTTCTAATTGTTTCTTCTTCTTTATTCTTTCTTCCTTCTCCTTCTCCTTATCATTTCCATCTCTGTCTCCGTCTCCGTCTTATTTTTTTGGTCTGTCTGAAAAATTTCCAAATATTTCTCTTCTAGCTCAGATATTCTTTCTTCTGCTTCACCAAGTCTGTTGTTAAGGCTTTCCACTGTAGTTTTTATCTTACCTATTTGATCTTCATTTCTAATATTTCATTTTGATTTCTCTTTAAAAATCTCAATTTCAGTGGAAAAATTTTCACTCATGTCATGTATGGATTACTTTGTGTATTTGCTTCTCATTGCTTCTGAGTAATCCTATGATTAATCTTTTGAATTCTGTTTCAGACATTTCATCCATCTCTTCATCTTCACATTCTAATATTGAAGTGTTGTGTTCCTTAGTGTGAGGTCATGTTATCTTCCTTGTTCTTGTTTCTTGAATTTCTGCACTTTTTAGGTTGTGGAGATACTTGTTGGTTTTTTTTTTTTTCCCTCTGAAGTATACCTTTGAAGTATACCTCTCTGGCTTAGGGGAATGTCTACTCTTTCAGCGCATATCTAGAGGTATGTGCTGGGTGTGGCCAGGGAACTATGGTCAGGATGACACACCAAGTTGGACATGGTATATCTCCTCTTATTAACAGAATAGGGGTATAGTCACCTGTTTTGGTGTAATCACACTCTTTCCTCCTCTCTTCCAAGGTGAAAATTGCCTGGGTGTTAGCCCTCAGTGAATGCAATGCTCATCTGCACTTCTGCATGAACTGCACAAAGGATCTGTGAAGTCCTCATAGTAAACATGGATCCCACTACAGTAACCATCTCCAGGCAATCAGGGATCTCTGAGCATGTGAAGCTGCACACAATGATTGCTCACAGACCCAGCTGTACCTGGTGCCCTCTCCTGCAGTCACAGAGTTCCCATAGTCTCAGCACGCAGGGCTCCCACAGTCTGCCAGCATCGCAGGTAGAGGCTTAACCACTATGCCACAAAGCCAGCCCCAAAACTATTTTTAAGAGGGGAAAATGGGGCTATTGGGTCTACACAGAAGACTGGCATGAATCAATGTATCTAATCTCATGATTTATGCTAAACATTTGTTGTGTTAGAGTCAACAAAATCTAGCTTACCATTATAAAGCATGAGATCTCTTTAATTTTGTATTTATTCATTAGTGTTTAATTTTAAAAATTTTAGATTTACATGAAATATATGTACATTTATATGTACATTTTTCAACAGATACACATGGTATAAACCAATCATACCATCATATTAGCCCTTTTTATAATTTTTATTTATTCAAGATGAACAGATTTCACATTTGTTACTAGCCCCCTTCTTTTTTTTTAAAAAAAAGATTTATTTATTTACTTGAAACTTAAAGTTACAGAGAGGAAGAAAGATCTTCTAGCAGCAGGAGCTTCATCCAGGTCTCCCATGTGGATGGCAGGAGCCCAAACAACTTAAGTCATCTTCTCCTGCTTTCCTAGGGTGTTAACAGGGTGCTGAGTGCAGGGGCCCAAAGACTTAGGCCATCTTACACTGCTTTCCCATATGCATTAGAAGGGAGCTGGGTCAGAAGTAGAGCAGGTAGGACTAGAATCAGTGCTCATATGGGATGCCGGCGTTGCAGCCACTGCTTAACTCACTGCTCCACAGTGCCAGCCCCAGGTTTGTTTTTTTCTTTCTTTTTTTTTTTTAATACAAAATGCTTGGCACAAATGAAAAATAGAACTAGACATGTGAAGAGGTAGAAAATATTGAATGGTAACTAAGAGTGAGAATACATAATAGAAGATTTTCATGTATAAAATGATCTAGACATTGGAATTAGCAAAGATTAAAAAAGAAGTAAGAAGGCCAGCATTATTGTATAGTTGGTTAAGCCACTCCTTGCAGTGCTGGCATCCCACATTGGAGTACCAGTTCAATCCCAGCTACTCCGCTCCCAATCCAGCTTCCTGCTGATGACCTGGGAAGGCAGCAGAAGATGGTCAAAGTACTTGGACTCCTGCCACCCATGTGAGAGACCAGGGTGGAGTTCCTGGCTCCTGAATTCAACCTGGTCCAGAACTGGCTGTTGCAACAGGTAAATATCCACCCTACCCCACCCCCGGCCACCATCCATGCCCCATCTCCCTCTCTCTCCCTCTCTGTTTCTATGCCTTTCAGATAAATAAATAAATGCATAAATAAATAATCTAGTGCAAACAGCTCCAACTGAGGAATTATTCCAAATAGTTAAGAAATTGATACCAGTCACTTCTTGGCCTTTGGCTAATATCAAGAGTAGAAATTGATACCAAAAATTGCAGGATCATGATAGGAAAATAAAATTCATTGACCAAAGTGCCTCATGAATATAAATGCAAAAGCCCTAAATGAAAGTTTAACAAATTGAATTTATCAATATGTAAGAAGGATGTTATAGGGTGAGTAATGGAATATATGTCAGTAACATGAAGTTTGCTCACCATTTGAATTATGATCAGTGTAATTCACCACCTTAAAAGATGGTGGGCATTTGGCATGACGATTAAGATGTCACTTGGATAGCTGTATCCCATTTGGAGTGTCTGGGTTCAACTCTCAGCTCTTCTTCTGATTCCAGCTTCCTGCTAATGTGCGCCCTGAGAGGCAGCAGTGATGGCTCAAGTAGTTGAATCCCTACCACCCATCTGCAGGACTGGATTAGAATTCTTGGCTCCCAGTTTTGGCCGTGACCAGCACTGGCTGTTGCAGGCGTTTGAGGAGTGAATCAGTGGATGAAAGTTTCTCCCATCCCCATCCCATATCTCTGCCTTCAAATATTTTTTAGAAAAATAGACATGAGGCCGGCACCGCGGCTCACTAGGCTAATCCTCCACCTTGTGGCGCCGGCACTTCAGGTTCTAGTCCCGGTCGGGGTGCCGGATTCTGTCCCGGTTGCCCCTCTTCCAGGCCAGCTCTCTGCTGTGGCCAGGGAGTGCAGTGGAGGATGGCCCAAATACTTGGGCCCTGCACCCCATGGGAGACCAGGAGAAGTACCTGGCTCCTGCCATCGGATCAGCACGGTGCGCCGGCCGCAGCGCGCTGGCCATGGCGGCCATTGGAGGGTGAACCAATGGCAAAGGAAGACCTTTCTCTCTGTCTCTCTCTCTCTCACTGTCCACTCTGCCTGTCAAAAAAAAAAAAAAAAAAGACATGAAAGTGAAAAAGGGGAAGAATCATGTGGACATTTCATTAGATGCAAAAAATACATAACATATATAATATATAGTTAAATATACATTCCTGATTTTTATATAAACTTGTGAATGAAGATTGACTCGGAATCTCTTTTTATGTTAAGAAATGAATAACATAAAACTTACCATTCTAACCATTTTAATGTTTACAGTTCAATGGCATATAGTACATTAACAATGCTTTTCAAGCATCACTGCCATCTTCTTTCAGAATATTTTAATAATTTGAACAGGAAAGACCAAGCCCATTTAAGCAGTCACTGACCATTTCTCCCTTCCTCCTGCCCTCAGAAACTATTAGTCTGCTTCCAGTCTCTATAAATTTCTCTGCTCTGGACATTTTATATAAATGGGATAATATATGGCTTTTTGTAGTTAAACACTGTTTTCACTTAGTTAATGTTCTCAAGGTTTATTTTTTTTTAAATTTATTTATTTATTTGAAAGTCAGAGTTATTCAGAGAAAGAAGGAGAGACAGAGAAAGAGATAGAGGTCTTCCATCCGATGGTTCACTCTCCAAATGGCTGCAGTGGCCGGAGCTGTGCCGATCCGAAGGCAGGAGCCAGGAGCTTCCCCCGGGTCTCCTACGTGCATATTTAAAATGCCAATTTTTCATTGGATTGTTTTTGCTTTGGTTGTTGAATTGTGATATTTCATTTATGTGCTTTAAAATTTATTTTTTGTTTAAGAAATTAGGACATGTAAGAATTATATGTATTAATAGGGTAGCATGTGATGCTTCATTACGTTGTATGCTCTCTAATAAGGGAAATATATCTTTTCTCAAACATTTAAATTTCTTTATTATAAAAACATCCAAAATCCTATCTTTCGGTTTATTGTTTTTATAGAGAAACATACAGGACATTAATATTATCTTTAGTCACCCTATTGTGCAATAGAACCCCATAACTTCTATCTAACTATAATTTTAGCACCTGTTAATCAAAAGCTGGAGAGGGGAGAGTTGTAATATTCGTTATATGTTCTTGACACTTGACCATTATCAAATTTATGATTTGCAGATATTTCCTCACATTCTGTAGGTTGAGTTTTCTCTCTACATGACCATTTTGATGAAGTCCTGTTCATCTGTATTTACTTTCATTGATTGTGCTTTTGGTGTCATAGCTATGAATCCATTGACAAGTTCAAGTCTGAATTTATTTTTAATGTTTATCCTACGTGGTGTTTTCTGAAATTCTCAGATTTCTAATAGGTCTCTATCATTAATCTTGTTGATTTTCGTCAATTTTTCCTTCTAGAATTTTTCTGTCATGAGAGAAGGAGTCTTGTCTGTCTTGTTTATAAATGTATTCATGTTACCTTACACAATATGTAGTACATAGTAGGTATTCAACACATTTGTTAAATAATGAATGAATTGATTGGTAGTGATCAGTGACTGATGACTTCTAGTATGAGAGAGAGAGAGAGAATGGGGAGAGGAGAGAGAGAAATGTCTAAGGTAAGTATGCTTCTAGTTCTAATTTATACATCTAGGTAGATATTGGTGCCACTCATGGAGATAAGAACATAGTAGGAGGTACACATTTTCAGATCTAGCGTGCTTATTGGACAACCAAGTATAATGGATTTCCAGAAGACAATTCTGCAATGTTGGAGAGAGACATTGACTGGAGTAGATTATGGCATTATTAGCGTCAACACAGTAATTGGAACAAAAGGAGACCAGATAAGATTGTTCAGGGGGTATTTGTAGACCAACTTTGAGGGTCTACCTAAATATTGCTTCAAAGTATTGCTTAAAAATTTATCACCTTTATGCTTTGATTTTCTCCACTCTTGAAACTAATGATCTGTTTCCCCCCTTTCTCTGGATACATGATAAGTTACAAGCAATAGTATTAGTTAAAAAGTTATTATTTTTTAAATTCTTTTCCACAGGAATTCAAATTACATAAGACTACCTTTGTAGCAATAAAAGACTTGACTTTGAATTTTTATGAGGGCCAGATCACTGTCCTTCTAGGACCTAATGGAGCAGGAAAGACTACTACATTATCCATTCTCACAGGTACAAATTTGGGAATGTGTATACTCTTGATATTGACATCATTGCCATTTAAGTGATATATGTATTTGTTGATTAATCTCATTTCCTAAAGTAAAATCTATAAGACTTGAAAATTGAGTCTATTTGTATATCTTGGTTCCATCAAACTTCTCACTTCTTAGCATGCCATCCTTATTAATCAGTGTAAAGGCTCTCTCTTCCTTTTAATTTTAATTTATTTATTCCATTATTTATTCATTTTTTCTTTTCTCATTCCCCCATTCTCCTCTCATTCATAGCAAATGATTATCATTTGTTTGATGTGCACTGTTTCATTGTATAATATATAATTCTTAAATGAATACATATTTTTATTTATTAAGAAAATTTCAAACATGTATCTAAATTGAAGGGATTTTCAGTGAATATCCATATAACCACAAATTTGGTTCTACCATTTTAATATTTTACTATACTTGTAATATATCTGTCAACTCAATTTTTAGACATTTCAGTTAATTTTGGATATAAATATGCTTTATCTTAAATAGTTTGCTACGCATATCATATATTCATTAGAACTTTCCTTTGGACATAAAATTTTGTTATAATTAAATGCTTAAATTTCTAATCTTTGATTATGGATATATATGTGTGTGTGTGTGTGTGTGTGTGTGTTATCCAGTCATCCACTAAGATAGAGAATTTCGTAATCCCAGAAAATTGCCACTTTCTTTTTGGAAGTTTAAGAATGATTTGCATTAAAATGATTTTTTTTTAATTTTTGAGAGAATTCACTAGTGAAGCCATTTGGCTCAAGGATTTTCTATTTTGGAAATATTTTGATTACTAGTGCAATATTTTTACTTGTTATAAGCCTCTAAAATATTTTCTAACTTTTTTTTTTACTTCTGTAAGATCTCTACTGATGTCCCGTTTTCTTCTGATTTTAGTATTTTGAGTTCTCTCATTTTTTTCCTCATTAGTATAGCTAAAGTTTGTCCATTGTGTTGATTTTCTCCACTCTTGAAGCTAATAATCTAGATTCTCTACTTTTTTAAATCCAGAAATCTTTTATCATTCCCATCCCTTTCAGTCTCTAGTAATCAACATTCTGTATTCAGATTGAGATTTTTTTAAAAAATTTATCTCTTGCATATAAGGGAGAACATGTATTTTATCTCTGTTTAAATCTTTATTGCTTCCTTCCTCTACTAGCTTTGAATTTGCCTGCATGTCATTTTCTAGTTCCTTACTATAAAGATGGGGTATTGATCTTAG